TTACAGACATCACACGAGTCGTTCTACTTGAAGGAACCTTCACTTGGTGGTAGGACCATTCGGACCTGCATTACAACTTGCCGCAGCGAGAGCGAGACTGCGACCAAGACGGACAAACAAGAAAAGTGTTGCTCAAGACAGAAGTGAGCAGCATGAAACAAGTCTGAGGATAGCACATCTTTTTTCATCTACAACAAAGAGACTGCTCTCTTTTTCCCCACCTAAACGAGGCCTACAGTTTATGAGATTGGGCAACTGGTAGCAATTGAGTGCAATTGTCTCCTGGGCGAGCTACATCACCAGTTGATATTCTCCTCACCCCCCTCGAATGTTTCTTCTTTTTCAACTGTCGCTTTTACTTCTTATTTCTTTTTATTTCTGCATCTTTTCTTTATCGTCTCCTTCGCTAAAGTTGACATAAAACAGTGTGAATTTGGTCTGATTCGAGTATTGCTTGCAGCAATAGCAAAAAGTAACTTCCCTCTTGGTTTTTTCCTTAAACGAGATTCCATTTGGCCATATTTGCAAAGCGAGACAATTCAGGGTAATTGTTGCTTAATGATTTCAACTAAATCCACCTCTTTTTCTTTCTACCATTTGTCACCCTTCATTCTATTTTTTTCTATTTCATATTCCTCATTCTTTTTCTTCAATCTTACACACTTTTCCTCCTTGTCCTTCTTCGGCTAATGCCTCCTCTGCAAATCTCTGCATTTTCTCACTTAATCCTATTTTGTTCAGTTATTTTTATTCTTTCTCGCTTGTCCATTCGCCCAATTTCTCTTTCCGCTGCACTTTTGCCCGGTTGGCCACCATCACAACTGCATTTCCCTGTTGCCACCGGCATCGTCGTCGTCGTCATCGTCGTCATCGTCGTCATCGCCATTGTCGTGATCACGACCAATTGGTTAAGTGAATGTGCCCTGCAGCGGAAGAGGCTAAGACTAAAAGGAGAACCAACCGTGTCCACGGCAAATCGACGTAACGCGAATGGCGCACCCTTTTTTGCGGGTCTGTAGACCGGCTTCTGCGGCTTTTGTCGGTCCCGCTCGCTCTTCTGCCTCTGTCCGGCCATTGGCTTGGGCCAATCCAAAAAGGGCTTGTCGCCTTGTCGT